AGCAGAGTGGGATCATGATGACTTTATCTCTGCTGGTGATGCCCTTGTTGATGCAACCCAGCATCCTGTTGGCTTTCTTTGCTGCTATAGCACACTCATATTGAGCTGCTTCTCCACCAGGACCCCCAGGTTCCTTTCCACAGAGCTGCTCTCCATCCAGGTGGATCCCAGCTTGTGCTACACTCTTGGATTGTGTTTTCCCAGGTGCAAGACATTTGTCTTTGTTGAACTTCATAAGGCTCTTGTTGGCCAACTCTTCCAGCCTGTCTAGGTCTTCCTGCAAGGTGGCTCTCCCTTCTGAAGTGTCTACTTCTCCACGCAGTTTGATGGGAGAAATTTGCTCCTCTTCAGGACACAAATAGCTCTGCTCTGTGATGAAAAGGGCAGCTCAGTAGGCCATCAACACTAGCTAGGACTCACCTTAAATGCGCTTTAAACCTCCAGACTTTACACCACCAGTGGAAATGTGAGTTGAGACTGAGTTCTCAGGCTTCTCTGCTTGAAGTTAGCTATGGAGCAATTGTTCCCAAATTGCATTCAACTTTGAGGTTGCATTTACATTTTAAAGATTTTGATAAAGCCTGGAGAAAAGGAGGCTGAGGGGAGACCTCCTTGCTCTGTACAATTACGTGAAAGGAGGTTGGAACTCTTCTCCCAGGTTACAATTAAAATTACCTGAAGTTGTGCTAGGGGAGGTTTAGCTTTGGTATTAGGAACCATTTCTCCACTGTTTGTTGTCAGGCCCTGGCCTAGGTTGCCCAGGGAAGTAGTGGAGTCACCATCCTTGGAGGTGTTTAAAAGCTGTGTAGATGTGGTGCAGAGGGACATGGTCTAATGGTAGACTTGACAGTGCTGGGTTAATGGTTGGATTTGATGATGTTAAAGGTCTTTTCCAACCAGAACAATTCTGTGATTCTCAAATTTGCCTGAAATGTTGCCTGTACTTCCACTTCTGTTTTCTTCCCCTTGGGCAGATTTGTTGGGGAGAGAATATAAAGATTCCAGGGAATTTTACTTGCTTCATATGATAATAGGACTGGTTCCCTGTGTTGTGATGTGAGGAGGCACATGGTGAGAACAGGAGCCCTTGCTGTGTGTGTAGCACACTTACAGGGACTTGACAAGCAGGGACTAGTGTGTGGGTCCATGAGGAGCCAATGCACCCCAGAAGGCTGGGGGGCCTGTGCATTCCTGGCCTGTGGTGTGGTCCAGCCTGCTGCCCTACCTAGGCTTGCAGGTATCTGGCAGTTTAGGGAGATCACTCAGCTGTAGAGATGTGCAGTAACCCTGCTTCACTGCAAGAGTCAACTTGCTTTGCAAATGGACAAAGCTGAGAAGGGAAGCAGAACACTGGCAGCACTGCTGAGAAGACAGAATCCTGTTGTCTTCTGGTCCAGTCCCAGTCCACACTAGTCTCATTTTGAATCTGGTTGGATGGAGGTTCTCTCCCATCTCCATCTCTGTGCACTAAACTGAACTTTAATTGGTGCTAGAACTTCAATGTCATTTATTTCTTGCTTGTGTGACTTTTCTGAAAGTAAATCTTCAGGGGGGACTGATCTGTCTGAGCCATGGGAGCAAACCCATGCCTATAGCTGGTGGAAAACTTCAGTGAGTAGAGACACATTTGGAGAAGAGCAAAGGAAACTTCAGCCTTTCTCCAACCCCAGCCAGCTGAGCCTGTGGCTGTGCACACCATGGCTTGGAAAAGGAGAGGGACACTTTGCAGTTGCTGCTCAGCCTGTTGCTCCAGAGCCCGACTGTGTTCCCAAAACACAAATGAAGCAGTGCTGCTGCAGAAAGGACTTCCATCAGGCCCTTGAGCTTTCAAAGACCTGGTGCTACAATTTTATGTGGAATTAGCATCACCCCTAACCTCTGGGTCACAGCAACCAAACAACTCTGCTGCCTGTTTAAGCTCTGGTAATCTTGTCTGGATTTCTGATTTAATTTGGAGACTGCCTGCTGCAGCTCTGCACAGTAAATGCCCAATTAAGCAGTTAATTATTTCTCTATAATACTTTCTTTTATCTTTAATACAACAGTTTTACTGTCTCTGATAATTACACAGTCTCGGATAACTCTCTTAAATCTAATGAGGCATGACAAGCTGTGTTCAACAAGGCACCACACCATTAACTTCTTACCTCTTATCTTATCACACTGAATTACTGTATTTCTAGCCTGAGTGGCTGTGGATACATAACATGTCACTTCTCATTAAGACAGTGATGAAAATCATCCCTGGTGCCCTCATGGTCAGGCCAGTGGTCAGCTGGCTGGCCTGGTGGCCTGCAGACCCCTCCAACAGCTTCTTTGAAGCATCATGCTCTTTGCCCCATGAGCTGAGCAAGCTTACTGGGTTTGGTTTAAATACTTATGGCCAGTCAAATGTTGTAGTTGGTCCATGGGTCTCGTGCTCGAGGGGAGGGGAAGGAAATGCAAAAGGGCTTTAAAGGGCATCAGTTATGATAGACCTTGTTTGTGCTGGTGGAAGTTGTTGCTGCAGGGATATCTTGTGGTGGGATTCTGCTGGCTAAGGGAGAGCAGGCAGTATTTTCTGGACAGGGGTAGGACACAAACTGCTGCAGCAGTGCCTGGTGTAACTTGATATAACTGCTGCTTTGTTGCTTGTTAATGGTGACAGTGGTTTGGGTGACTGGAGTGCTGGTTTTCTGTGGATTTGAGAGTGGCACCAAAGACCCTGCATGTGCCTGACCAGAGCCCTGGGCTCAGGGTGATCGTCTGTTCATGTATCACCCTGTCACTTTGCCAGTAAAAGAAGTACAAAGTTGTACTTTTGAAATGTTGAGGAAGCTTCTGCATCCCTCCAGGCTGGACCAAGAAGGCATTTCCCGGGGGAGTGAGCCCAGGCTGTCCCATGGAGCAGATGGTAGGGCTCCAGCTGGACTGAACAAATCAGTTAATTACCATCTAGATGCAGAACAACAAGGAGCCTTTTATTTGGAAATCAGAGGTATCCAGCTAATGTTTTGGTGCTTCTTCCCAGCCTCCTCCCTGGAAGTGTCCAAGGCCAGGTTAGATGGGGCTTGAAGCAACCTAATCTAGTGGGAGGTGTCCCTGCCTATGGAGATCTTTAGAACTAAATTATCTTTTAAAGTCCCTTCCAAACCATTCTATGATTCTATGGAATTCACATCTATAAAAGTTAACCTCCTTATCCCACCAGAGAGTAGGTGGAAGCATGAGGTCCTGCTGTCATCTGTGATAGTCTGGATCTTTTTCTGCATAGCCCCAAGATGCCCTGGGAAGTGTTAGTCAACAGTGAGGAAAAGCCTCATTGATGGTCTGTTTGGGCTTCTGCAATCTGTCTGCTCGTCAGTCCTCCCTGCAGTGATCTCCAGTGTCAGGGATAGCTGGGATGTATAGACGGGTTCAGAGATTAATGCTCACAATATGTATTCTTGGGGTGGTTTCTCTGGCAGGGTTTTATACTGCACATCAATTCATACCGTGTCCTGCTGCTTTCAGGCTCCATGTCCCACTAGATGGCACCATCAAGCAGCTGCTGCTCTCGCATCCCTGGCCGGACTGTCAGGAGTTTGAGATACAGTGAATTATTGTTTGTTTTTCATTTCCCCTAAAAAAAAAAAAAAGTCGCAGCTCATTATTTTGAACTCTGAATCCTGTTCAAGCTGGCAGCGTGTTTGGGAACTGGTTGTGGAACCCTCCATGTCTGCCTGAAGTTTGGAGGCACACTGCACTTGGGGCAGCAGCTTGAAGGATGGTATCTCTAGATGCAGCTGTTAGCAACCTGACCAGTGGGGTTTTATTTCTAATTAATAATTCTAATGTAAGAAAAAGCCTCTTCTAGGTCTGCTTGTTCCAGAGCATTGGTACTTGGGGGTTTAAAGGGAGAAAAGTTGGCCTGGTAGCTGGTGCTTTCTAAAATGGGTTCCTGGCTGGAGGGGCAGCAAAGCAGTCACTCATGACTTCTTTGTGGGTTGTGGTGCTTTGTACTTTTCCACGAGCAACTCCTGTTTGGGCATGTAAAAGCTGGTTGGACCCAAGGAGAGCAGCAAAAGTGCGTGGAAAAAACGGAGACCCTGTGGGATGCTTCTGCAATGCTCAGACCACACTCTGAGCAAAGATAGGTAGAAATCCAGCTTGCTGTTGTCTCCAGGTAGTAACCAGGGAAAGATCAGAGCAGCCCCTGCAAGAGGCAGCACCAGAGGAGTCCTCAGAGGAGAACAGATGTGAAGGGCTGTAAGGAGCAAACTCCTCTATGGCCAGAGGGGGTTTCATTTAAAGAGCCATAGAATGGGGTTGCGTTGGAAGGGGATTTTAAAAGTCATCTGGTCCAGCCCTCTTCCAACAAGCAGTAACATCTCCAACTTGATCAGGTTGCTCAGAGCCTTGTCCAACCTGACCTTGAATGTTTTCAAGAACAGAACAGTTGCTTCAGCTGCCTTTTTGAGGGCATATGGTTGGTGAGACTGAAGCCATGTGTCTCACCATTGCTCGGGGAGCCAGTGAGCATGCAAAATATTGTGTCATGAAATTATGTTTTTCTAGTACCTGGCACAAGTTAGAGCCATGCCAGCTCATAGGGCTTTGGGGTTGGTACCTTCATGCTGGAGATGTGTGCAAGGTCCTGCTTCCTCAGGGGTTCTCTGGTCCTGATGGTGCCAGGAGGAGATGGCTTTTATGTGCTGCTGAGACTCACAAGCTTAATAGACTCTTGGGCCATGTCATCTCGCTGTCACTATCCTAATTTCAGTTTGCCTGCAATAATTATTAGGGCTAGTAGGTAGTGATGGACCCTCCCCAGTTTTCCTTGGTCACATGAAAATGCTGCTGCTGAAGGATTCCAGAAGCATCCACCTGCCTCCCAGACACCTCTGCTCTTCAGCCTTCCATGGGTGCGTGTGTTGCCTCTGGTTTAGACTGGAAAATGCTGAGGTCCTCCAGGTTTTTTTGTCTGCTTTTTCCTTGAAGATCAGCACAGCCTGGAGATGAGTTCAGCTCTGCTGGTTGACATGACCTCCCTCATTTTCTTTGCAGTAAAACGATTTAAGGAACCAAAGGAAGAGAGACGTCCCTGGAGGATATGGTGAGATTTTTAATTTGAAGCTTGAAAAGACCATGTACTATGATTTTTCTTTTATGCTAACAATCTTCTAGACCCTCTGAATATCACCCTACATGGTATTTAGATGTTAAATGCTCTGATGTTGCTTCCCGGGGATATCACCATAAAGTAGCTGGTGCTCCCTAGAAGTAAAATTTCCTGCCCAGCTCCTCCAAAGAAGCTTGTTTTCACTGAAGGTGACTGAATTTAGGGGTTATGGTCCTCTTCAATCTGCTGGCATACATGGGTCAAATTTCATCTTTAAATTCAATTGATCACTTTGGTGTCCCCTGACCCAGCTCAGGCATAGACCAGGCAACATATTTGGCTGTGTCTTGATGTGAAGTAGCTGGGTATTGCTGTCAGCTTTGAACATCTCTACAAAGCATCTCCTGTATTGTAGGATTGATAGGCTGCTGAGAGGTGTGTGGGTGGCTCAGCCTATGGTTGGGCTGGCTTGGCAGCATGGAGCTACCAGCCAGTATTGATGATGAAAAGCCTGTTAAGTCTTCTCAGTTTGGTTCTTCGTCTGAAGTTCTTTAAGAAATCGATCCAATTCCCTGTAAACAGCTGTGAAACCTGGAAGGAGCTGGACAACTTCCCTGCATCTACTGTTGGTTGGAGAAACTGAGGCTGGATCCTGGAGAGTGAACTCCTCTTTGCTGCAGGCTAAAACTCAGCAGCAAAGCTGCAAGACTGACCAGCTACATAATGAAGCAATATCATTTTCTTTTTCTGAAGTATTTAGAGTTGGCCAAACTGCCCCTTTTCACCATGGACCAATTCTTGAGTGTGTTCTCCTTCTTGGAGGAATGCAGATCCATGCAGGGCCTTCACCTGGGAGACTGCTCTGCTGCTGGTGCTCCAGGGCATGGATTTTTTTGTCTTTTTTTCTCTTCAGGTTTTATGATACCTCCAAGCAAGCAATAGGTGCCCTCTTCATCCACTTTGCCAATGTTTTTCTGTCGGATCTCACTGAAGAGGACCCCTGCTCTCTGTAAGTACGTGAGATACTTGCATTCATGTCCAGTACTTGGAAAGAGAGGAAGCAAGACTGTTGGCAGATACATGGTGGAAACTAGGTGTGGATAAACCATACTAAGCTTATTTTCCAGGTCTGGGTTGTCTCTTGGACTGATGGAGATGAGGCAGTGTGACCCTGCTTTTCCAGTGATTAAAAGCACCTTGAAATATACTATGTCCTGTGCAATTGCAGCTGCTAAATGTGCTATTTGCACAACAAACTGCACTTCGGCTGAGCTCAGAGCATTATTGAGAATGCTTTACTAACTGTGTGGGTAAAGGCTTTTCTCTAATGTAAAGACTTATTTTGGAACTTCAGTTGAACCTCCCAGATACATTCATACGGTCCTTTTAGGGGGCTTTCTAAGCTGGACTTTGGGCTTTAATGTAGAAGTGCCCCTTTAACTTCAGACCAGCCACTTCACAACTACTAGTTTCAACATTATCCTCAAAATGCTACTCAAAACCATCTGACCCATCTCCTCTTTATATTTTATAGCACTGCACCTTGATTTGTTTCTTTAAACAGCCACAAGTTTGGCTGGGGCTAAATAGAACCTCTAAAATTATTCATTGTTGTTTTTTTTAAACAGAGAATGTTGTAGAATAAACCCTTTTGTGCTTGTGCTGTGCCCTTCAGGTTCTTTCCTTAATGTGTGTTTTGTTTCCTTGTGTTGCCTGACTTGTCATCCTGAACCAGGCAGCTTAAAACTCTCCAGCCCTGTCCCTGGGCTCTGAGGCTCATACACTGTGTCCTGCCCAGTATAAACGACCAAGTTCTTATGTTCATATCAGAGTACTCTGATTTCAGCAGCTGGAAACTGTAATAAGTTAGTCTGAGCCTTAAGATGTAGAAAAGCTTAATGTCATATTTTCAAAGTGGATATCAAAAGCAGATTGTTATTTTCAGTTTCTTTATTCAGAGGCAGTATCAAGTTCTGGAAAAGGACATGTTCATTCCTCTAGCTCTGTGCTTGGTATTCTCTTCATGCTCTAGAAATTTGGCGTGATCTGTCAGAAAATATTCCAATAATGGAAAACTGGCCAGAAAACATTAGTCTGAGTGTTGTTTTTTGTTGTTTTTTTTTTCTCTGGAGTTCATTAAAATACCAAACCCTGGAATAGAGCTTGGACCCTGCAATCCTCAGAAGGTCCCTGCAGGTCTCCTGCCTCTGGCACGCTGTCCAGTGAGGCTTAAACATCCAAAGCTGCTGAGCAAACCTGCCCAGCCCAAATCTTCTGGTAGGATGTGTTCACCTCCTGGGTCTGGAGTGGGGGACCCCAGGATGCCTGCTTGTTGAGCCAGGGCTCTTCACCTCTCCTAAGACCTTTTGCCTGTCAGTCTGTGTCTCTGCTTGTAGGAGCCATTTGCAGCTGCTCAGTAAAATGGACTTTTTGTCTCTTCTGCTGCACAGTTCACAGAGCAGCTGTGCTGGCCAAGAAACTTTCATTTTATTGGATGAAATTGCAGAAATGTTAGGTTCCATCCTAATAGGAACAGAAGGTACTGCAAATGAAAATGCCTCCCTTTTGGGGGGGTAACCCTTAAAAAAGTCTAGCCCGACAGAAAATGTAGTGTTATATGAATATGTGAGCAATGCCAGTGTTGGTAGAGACTGTTCCATTCTCTGCAGAACAGGATTTTAAACTAAGAAATTCCTGTTAAGACTATAGGAAAATCCAATAAAAGAGAAGGGAAGTGAGCCTGGACTATTACATGATGTTCTGGTTTGTTGGGTTTTTTTTAAGTCTTGGGTGTTTTTTGTGGATTTCCATAATGAAATATGAGTTTTTTTGACTAAGACTGAAGAACACAACTGAAACCTGAATTTTCCTGTGCTCATAGCTACCTGATTAATTTCATCCTTGATGCCACGCTGGGAATGCTGCTGATCTGGCTTGGTGTGAAAGTTGCCTCCTGGATCGTGCAGCATAAAAAGTACACATACCTGGTCTTTGGAGAATATGGTAAGTGGCAGCTGCTCTGCACAGAGGTGGCTTGTTTGCTCCCAGATATGCATGGGGAGATGAAAAATGGCAAAAGCTATAGTTTGGGGATAAAACATTTGAGCAGGATGCTTCCCTTCTCCAGGGAGCTCACAATTGAAGCTCTGGGACACTTCCTTGGGTGGTTAATATACCCTGGGGGACACAATATGGTAAATGAAGGTGTTTGTGTGTGGTGATGGTGGCTTTTGTGGGCTTCTCTTGGGTTTTTTTCCGAGCCTTTCAGTTCAGAACACAGAGTTGTTGTTGTGTTTGCCTTGAGCTGTAGCAGACACCACCAGGACACAGCCTGGCCCCAAAACTGAGTTCTCAAATAACCTCTGGGTTTGGTTGGTTGGGTTTTTTCGAAAGCTGATGTTAAAAAAATATACATAAAAATAAAATCACACAAATGTAAGTGTGCCCAAGTCTGGCCTTTCTCTGCCTCCCTTCCTGTCTTGAGGAGAAAGTCCCAGAAAAGCCTTTCTGAGCCATCCCCACTAGAGGGTAGCACTTCTCTTCAGAAAGAGCAGAGCCACCTTCCAGGAGAGCAGTGCTGCTCCGTGGCTGCAGGGGAGGGAAGCGTTAACCCTTTGCCTGTTCTATGTTATAACTAATATAAAGATGAATTCAGTCTTACTGTAGAAAATACATCCTATTCGTACCGATCACTTTGCCACCTTAAATATGAAACTTCATGTCGTGAAGGTGATCTTGTTCATTTGTATCTTTTGTATCTTTTTGATCTGATAAATGAGCTGGTGAAACTTGGACCAAACTAGGATGAGTGTGGAGGCCCAACTGATTTGTGAGCTCTTACTCAGGCTGACTTTCAGCCTGTGTAAACAGGTCATGGCACAGGGTGAAGGGGATGGTTGGGTTTGTGAGGCCGTGGAAGCAGCTGCAGACTGGGAATGAGATGCCAACAGATGGGTTCAAATAAGGAGCTGTCTCTCATCACACCTAAGAGTGGCTTTAAAGGTTGCAATGGTCTCCAGAGCAAGTTCAGCAGCCTGACAGGATGGATTTGGTGGGGACTACCTGTTTGGGTTTTTTTCCCCCAATGGCTCTTTCTCAAATTGCTGGGGAGCCAAGCACGGAGTGCAAAAGTAATTCAGATGAGACAGCAGAGGAATCCAAATATTCTTGGTTCAGGGACTGGCATTTTTCCCCTCTTGAGCAATGAGAATTTGAAGCAGGACTGCAGCCATCCCAGGGCACAGCTTCAGCTTCATGTGCCACGTCTGCAGTTGAGAAGAAGCAAGGAAACATTAAAGTGTATTGACAGCTTGCAGAGCAGTAATGAACTTCTGTTGAGCTGTAGCTGCCCCCTCATGATGGCTGGCTCAGACTACAGAAACAGCTCACTCCTCTGATGAAATCTTGCTTCCTTTAATAAATAAACAAGAAGTTTCTGCTCTGGCTTGAATTTAGCTCTTGAATAGGAGATTAAATATCTCGTCCTCTGAGCACCACTCTTGGTGCACGTCTCTGGCCAGAGTGACAATGATGGAAAAATCAGGTAGGAGTCAAGTGGCATGTCCAGTGCAATCCTGTTGGAGGGCTAGGAAAGCAAAACACTGCTGTCCTCATCTTGGATGCTGACTAGCTTCCAGGACAGTTTGGAAGATGCTAGTAAACTTTGTACAGTTTGATACAGGCTCCAGAAGTGTGATGTACTTTCTGCTCTAATTGCTCTACCAGACATTGTTGCTTTCCTCAATTCTCCTGAGGAGCAAAAGAATCTCTTGCAGTTCTGCTGAGGAGGAAGGGCAGGATGCCAGGGAAGCACCAAATCTGTGTTGCAGACAGTGGTGAGTACTATTGCTCCAACAATCAGAAAAGAAAGCTGTGTCTTTGCCCAGTATAGACACTACTCATCTACCTGCATGGTCTTTTTGGGGCTGGAAATGTATTGCAGCTGCCTTCTTTCTGAGCCTACTCCTCTTGGTTACATCCCTGTGTCTGATGGAAACTGTTGCTGTTACCCTCTGTGTTGGTTTCCATCAGTGCCCTCTGCTCTACTGTTGGTTTGCCTGTCTCCACAGCCCTGGGTGGTTCTCACTGTATGATTTCAATAGGTGCAGTAATGGAGAAGCAAAGAAAAGGGAAGAGCAGACACCCTGATCTCTATGGCTGTTTTAAACATCCAGCTGTCCAGAGCTGTTTATAAAAGTTAGTTACTTTTGTATTAAAAAAAAAACAAACCAAAAACAAAAACAAGCAAAACAGAAGCAAACCAGAAGATACTTATTCTGAGATTAGCCTCTTTTGTGCCTGAGCTCTTAGCCAAAGACTGCTGCAGCCAGAGTTACCTGGGTTTGAGCTAGTGGAGGTTCCTGTATGCTTGTGTTCTTCCATCTCTGCCCAGCTGCTCTGGATTACTCTCTGGACAGCATCTAAGCACAAGGAGCTGCAGTTTGAAAGGCTGTCTCTTCTGAAGACTATGGAATCATAACCATAGAATGATTTGAGTTGGAAGGGGCCTTTAAGATCCTCTAGTTCCAACCTCCCTGCCATGGGCAGGGATATCTCCCACCAGACCTGGTTGCTCAGAGCCCCATCCAACCTGGCCTTGAACACTTCCAGGGATGGGGCAGCCACAGCTTCTCCGGGCAACCTGTGCCAGTGTCTCACCACCCTCACACTAAATAATTTCTTCCTGATGTCTAACCTAAACCTACCCTCTTCTAGTATAAAACTGTTAGCAATTTACTATCACCTTGCAAAAAGCCCCTTCCCAGCTTTCCTGGAGCCTCGTCAGGTACTGGAAGATGCTAAAAGATCTCCCTGGAGCCTTCTCTTCTCCAGGCCAAACACCCTAACTCTCTCAGCCTGTTTCCAGAGCAGAGCTGCTCCAGTGCTCTCATCAAGCTGTTCCAGTGCTCTCATCATCTTCATGGCCTCTAGACTTGCTCCATGTCCTCCTTGTGTTGGGGCCTCAAGAGCTGGACACAGCACTGCAGGTGGAGCCTGAGCAGAGTAGAAGGGGAGGATCCCCTCCCTTAACCTGCTGGCCATGCTTCTTGTGATGCATCCCAGGACATGGTTGGCTTTTTTTTTTTTTTCACATAGGCTATGGAGAGTGATGGTTGCCTCACAAATACTCAAAGGTGACAAAGTCCACAAATGCTCTGTGCTCCATTGCCAAAGCTGCTGAGCAAACCTGCCCAGCCCAAATCTTCTGGTAGGATGTGTTCACCTCCTGGGTCTGGAGTGGGGGACCCCAGGATGCCTGCTTGTTGAGCCAGGGCTCTTCACCTCTCCTAAGACCTTTTGCCTGTCAGTCTGTGTCTCTGCTTGTAGGAGCCATTTGCAGCTGCTCAGTAAAATGGACTTTTTGTCTCTTCTGCTGCACAGTTCACAGAGCAGCTGTGCTGGCCAAGAAACTTTCATTTTATTGGATGAAATTGCAGAAATGCTAGGTTCCATCCTAATAGGGACAGAAGGTACTGCAAATGAAAATGCCTCCCTTTTGGGGGGGTAACCCTTAAAAAAGTCTAGCCCGACAGAAAATGTAGTGTTATATGAATATGTGAGCAATGCCAGTGTTGGTAGAGACTGTTCCATTCTCTGCAGAACAGGATTTTAAACTAAGAAATTCCTGTTAAGACTATAGGAAAATCCAATAAAAGAGAAGGGAAGTGAGCCTGGACTATTACATGATGTTCTGGTTTGTTGGGTTTTTTTTAAGTCTTGGGTGTTTTTTGTGGATTTCCATAATGAAATATGAGTTTTTTTGACTAAGACTGAAGAACACAACTGAAACCTGAATTTTCCTGTGCTCATAGCTACCTGATTAATTTCATCCTTGATGCCACGCTGGGAATGCTGCTGATCTGGCTTGGTGTGAAAGTTGCCTCCTGGATCGTGCAGCATAAAAAGTACACATACCTGGTCTTTGGAGAATATGGTAAGTGGCAGCTGCTCTGCACAGAGGTGGCTTGTTTGCTCCCAGATATGCATGGGGAGATGAAAAATGGCAAAAGCTATAGTTTGGGGATAAAACATTTGAGCAGGATGCTTCCCTTCTCCAGGGAGCTCACAATTGAAGCTCTGGGACACTTCCTTGGGTGGTTAATATACCCTGGGGGACACAATATGGTAAATGAAGGTGTTTGTGTGTGGTGATGGTGGCTTTTGTGGGCTTCTCTTGGGTTTTTTTCCGAGCCTTTCAGTTCAGAACACAGAGTTGTTGTTGTGTTTGCCTTGAGCTGTAGCAGACACCACCAGGACACAGCCTGGCCCCAAAACTGAGTTCTCAAATAACCTCTGGGTTTGGTTGGTTGGGTTTTTTCGAAAGCTGATGTTAAAAAAATATACATAAAAATAAAATCACACAAATGTAAGTGTGCCCAAGTCTGGCCTTTCTCTGCCTCCCTTCCTGTCTTGAGGAGAAAGTCCCAGAAAAGCCTTTCTGAGCCATCCCCACTAGAGGGTAGCACTTCTCTTCAGAAAGAGCAGAGCCACCTTCCAGGAGAGCAGTGCTGCTCCGTGGCTGCAGGGGAGGGAAGCGTTAACCCTTTGCCTGTTCTATGTTATAACTAATATAAAGATGAATTCAGTCTTACTGTAGAAAATACATCCTATTCGTACCGATCACTTTGCCACCTTAAATATGAAACTTCATGTCGTGAAGGTGATCTTGTTCATTTGTATCTTTTGTATCTTTTTGATCTGATAAATGAGCTGGTGAAACTTGGACCAAACTAGGATGAGTGTGGAGGCCCAACTGATTTGTGAGCTCTTACTCAGGCTGACTTTCAGCCTGTGTAAACAGGTCATGGCACAGGGTGAAGGGGATGGTTGGGTTTGTGAGGCCGTGGAAGCAGCTGCAGACTGGGAATGAGATGCCAACAGATGGGTTCAAATAAGGAGCTGTCTCTCATCACACCTAAGAGTGGCTTTAAAGGTTGCAATGGTCTCCAGAGCAAGTTCAGCAGCCTGACAGGATGGATTTGGTGGGGACTACCTGTTTGGGT